TAAGAGTAAAATCATGTTTGTTTTTGTAGATGTTGAAAGCCAGAGGCATAGGAGAGCATCATTCTTTTGAGATTATAATTGAGTTATTTTTAGAAAATTAATGTTTCTGTTTTCTCCTGCCTGTTTACCTCACATTTTGATTACGTGTTAATATTTTATTTAAACCATTGTCTGTGTTTTTCATTGCAAAACTCAAACCAACTTTGGAGTTGTCTGATTTGGAGAGTCATCATTCTTGGTCTTCCTTTCTTAAAGGAATAGTTCACACAAAAAAAATAATTTACTTGCCCTCATGTCATTCCAAACCTATAAGACTTTTGTCTATCTTTAGAACACAAATGAAGATATTTTTAATTTTCTCTCATAATTTTTGTTAATCCATTGAAAGTCTAGATAATCATTATTTTCAAGCTTCAAAATACAGGATTACTTCTACAAGAAAATACAGAGTTCTTGTAGAAGTAATCCATGCCAATATTTATATATGAATAAATCTTAAACTATATCATAGCGAACATGTCTGTTCAGAAGAAAATACTGGTCTCCCAGACTTGCAATAGAGGACAAAACTTAAGAGAATATTAAATATATTTATTTGTGTTCCAAAAATTAGCAGAGTTTGTATGGGTTTGGAACAACACGAATAAATTATGACCATTTTCATTTTCTGGTGAACTAACCCTTGAAAGAGCAGCCCACCACGTACATGAAAATTTGTGAGGTATGTGAATGTCATGTCTGTTTTAATGTTTCATTAAAGAAATAGCTTTCTGAAAGCAATATATTTAAACAATATTACATGCCCTCACACTAGTGCTGCCATTACAGAGACATTAAACAACCACACAAAGTGGTTGAAATGGACTATTTACATATCCTTACTGATGTGGATGCACCTCTATCTGAAAATAGATAGATTTTAATTTAAATGTTTTCTTTCTTCAAATGTTTTTCTCTTTTTAGGCCACTGATGAAGAACAGGTGGTGACTGGGATGAATGCTGGTCAAAGAGGAGAATGTCCTTTCCCCCAAACTGATGCAACCGTGGTTTTAAAGGAGGAGGCTGCCCTGGATAATGTAAAAGATGGCACATGCCTTTGCTGTGCTGATGGGGCTTCTTCATGACTACATCAATTATCCTAAAGAGATCATGAAAATTGGCAGCGATGCCTGATCTGTATTCATGGACTATGAAACAAACTGTAAGTGTATAATTTGTAAAAACAATTCAACAAATGTTCAATGCTTCATTTATAAACTCTGTAGCTGTTAATGCCATACTTTTCTGCATTTCTTCTTACATGCATGTTACTTTTGACTGTTTTCTCTTGTTTTAAATAAATATTTACCTTTTGATAGTCTTTCTGTGTCTGTAAAAGTGATTTTAAAGTGAACAAGATTTGTAGGTTTAATGTCTAGCTCGATTTGGGTTCATTTTAGCCTAGCAGTGTAGTAATTTTAAACCATAAAAAAGCAACCCAGCATGCTGGGTCAAACATAATAACCCAACTTGTTGGTTTAAAACAACCCAGCGCTGGGTTCGTCCCTTTTTGGCCCAGCGCTGGGTTGCCAAAATAACCCAAATTGGGTTGTTTTTAACCCAGCTGTTTTTAGAGTGTAGGCTTTATTCATTCAGCAAAACTAATTTTTATGTAAATCTTTCATAAAGGACTTGGCATGAGGCGGTGACTGTATAGTTCTGACGTCAACTTTTTACGGAAGTCACAACGGTTCGTGAAAAATCACAGCTACTTTAAGCAGGCTGTGTGAATTTTACTGTGGACTGACTGTTTTGAAACTGATATGGTAGTTACATAGCACCTAGACCTCAGTTATCATGAAAAAAGCCAGGAAATTTCAGTTTTGACACTATGGGACCTTTAAAGAATCTATGATACAGAAATGAGGACAGCAATCCTGGGGATCACTGACTTGACAGTTTGGAGTAAAAAAGAAAAAGAAAAATAGTTTTATGCAATTTTGCAGTTTGAGATCATAGTGACAACATTCCCCTGTTGAATACTATTGTTAGATGTTTTTTTTTATTTTTACTTTTTCTCTTAATAATAGCCAGTATGTACAAACAAAATAGTCCGGAAATCCACAAGATGACACATTAAAATGTTATGAGTGGTACATTTTCATCATTGTGGCTATGAAGATTTGATCAAGAACTTAAGATGTTGAGTCCTAATGGCGATTTGAATGAGATGCCAGGTGGCTGTTATAGATGGGAAATGAGATGCATAATATTTGTCTTTTTACTTAACATTGATTTATTTGTCAGTTTCTTATAAATTCATTTCACATTCAGATTCATGTGCAGGTCAGTATATTTGAGGATACATTCTTTCTGAGACATGTTCATCTCTCATGCTTAATATTAATTATTTGCCAATTGAATGGGGATGGAAATTTATATATAATAATTCAGATCAACCCACTAGTCTGTGCAATATGACAGATTGAATATTTGATGACTATATCTGGTAACCACAGCTGTTATACTTACAAATCAGCTCAAGGAAGAAAAAGGGCAAGTTAAAAGAGAAGAAACATGAAAAATGGAGATGAACAATAAACAATGATTTCTCGAGTGTGCTGGTAATGTGGGAGATATTTAGAATAGAGTAATTAAAAAGAGGATATTCTTAGTCAGTAGTCATCATTCAGATACAGTCTAACTAATTTACTGGTTCAACACTTTGTATTTGAAGCAATTTTGATAAATTGGCATGCAAACAAAAGAAAAAATTACATGGATTTGAGCTGTAATTATAGACGTAAAAAGGGCCTCAGCACACCCACTACCATGCTAGTCACAAATACAACCATTTCATCCAGATAAGAAATCATTTTATCGTCGTTTTAAAAAGTCGAACATTTGTAAATGCTGTTTTCGTCAGTTTAAATTATTTTTAATGTCTTTATTATCAGAGAGGGATTTCAGCCCTGAGGCAGTCTGCCATCGTGAGATTTATTTTTTTCCCTCTAAATTATTCTGCTTTCAGTGCTATCAGGCTAAAGTTAGCATTTTCCAAGATCTCCTATTGTACCTTTAAGATTAATTATTGACTCTCTTATCTGGCATTTTTCCAGCACACATCAAACATTAGTCCAAAAAACAAAGTTTCACTCAAGTTCAGTTATTTCACTAGATGCCAAAAACACAGACTGTGAACAACAAACATATACCAAAGACTCAGCCCAAATTCACGAGTCCATCCCAATATTGTGTGCTTTAATTGAAGAAATGGGACATAAGCCAAAGGGACATCATTTGAGTTCTTTTCCGTTTGCCTGTACTGTAAGTTTAACACATTTCTGCCTCAGATTTGTGTAATGCAGACAACATATGCAAGTGGTCCCTAACTGAGATACATCATAAACATCTTATTCAAACAGATTATCTTTATTGTCAGCATAAGCATGGCAGTCATAGTAATTTGCATCACCATTCAATAAAACAGTTTTTTTTTTTATTATTATTAAAACAAATACATTTTAGCAAAACACTGTCTAAAAATCTCTAAATCTCATAACTGTACCTCAGTTCTCCTGATATTCTATACCCTTTTGTCACTTCATATTTCTCAATATTGTCTTCCAGGTCAATATTCTCTTGGCCTCACCTGTCTACGCGAATCCTCGCAAAGTAATCTAAGCATCAAGCGCATCCACTTTCCTTCAAACTGATGCAATCGCGACTGTGCTTCGAGGATGCGGGTGGCCCAGATGACCTTGTTCCATATTCAATTTAGCCAGCCCCGCGTTCCCGTGGACAGATCCTCTGCCAGCTGCTCTCCCTGTCGCACAGTTCTATGTGAAACACTGAGAACATCAGTCTGGGGACGACTTCGAGAGCCCTTATTGATGGTGTTGTCAAGGCGAGGGCGAGAGCAACTTAATCGCTCTCAATTAATACCCCCGCCTGCGGCCACCGCGTCCCAGCGCTCAGTGGCCCTTTTCCCCCGCACAGCCCATGAGCTCCACGCTGACACTCACCTTTCTACTTCTAATGAGTCCCTCTCCGATTAGCTGCCTTGCTTCAGGCCTAAAAATCGTCCCTAAATCCCAACACATCCCCCCTCCCCACCCCTGCGAAGATGCTAAGAAAGACTTGCTCGTAAAAAGTCTGTCATGGACCTTTTTCACAGACTGTGATGATGCGTTTCCACTGTTATTGTAAATCTAGCTACGTTTTTGCTCTCTTGGTTTGCTATCCGAAGGATTTATGACTACCCCATTCTAGTCATTTAGCAGCAAATGTCTAACAAAGTTACTTTGAAAAACGTATTGTGTAATCTTTAAAATCAATATAAAGATTATATCCACACATTTTTCTGGAAATGTATTAAATATACAGACATAATCTTATAAAATGTGCCCATGTAACTGTATGTTCATATGGAAAGATTGTTGTTCTTGTCCTGCGGTGAGAGCTGAAATAGTGTTCCCAGTTATGTCCTCCCTGCACATCTGCTTTTGGGCTCTGCACCAACTTCAAATTAGGAAACACAAAGTGGGATTGATAGGACAGCTGTCAGACAGGGCCAGCCAGAAAAACTCATCACTGGCCCAGAGCCTCTGTGCTCTTTGATTGGCTCCTCAACTGGAAACATGGCTTCATCCAGCCAAACAAGTGGCCCATGAGGAACAGGAGGAGAGTGCTGGCAGGACTGCTGGTAATGTTGAGGGAAAACATCTTGAGTCTTGTCCTGCGTGCTTTTCCATCATTTTACATCTGACGGTAACTTAACTGTTCACTGCAGTTGGATTCTCTACAATGTTTATCACTCTCTGAAATATTTGACATTGAAATAATATGAAAAAAGTTATTTTTTAGGGGTTTTTTTTCTTTAGCTCATAAAAACTGCATTGTGGAAGTTTTATAAAATAGTCAAATGTGTTTTAGCTAGCTTTCTGATATCCTCCAGTCCTCATTAAAATATCTGAAGATTATTTCTACATTCAGATTTGGCTTTAGCATTGTAGCTTAATTTCTGCATTCAGTCTTAATCACACAACACTAAGCACTGACATTATGTGTAAGCTATAAATAATATACAGTTTCCCTGCAATACAAGTCTGCTGGATGGCTGTGTAATGATTATTCTCTGAAAAGAAGAAGGAACCACCACATCTTTTCATTTTAATCCAACACTTTCTTTAGAAGACGTGCAGTGGTTCTTTCTTGTTCTCAGGTTATCACTTCATGAGAGCAGACACAGCACTTGAGTTGGAAGGCCAGACAGGTGTGTTAATTAAAATGTTGATAGGAGGTTCGCCATCCAAGAGGAGATGCCATTAAGGCTACAATGAAATGAGCATGAGTTCAGTAAGTGTTATTTCTGTGCCTTTCAATTCTCTGCTGTTCAGCTAGAATCTTTTCTAAAACATCGGCTGGCATATAGGGGATAACGGGGCTAGTTGTCACACTTTTTATTCCAGTGAATACCTCTCAGTGTTGGTTTATTTTCTGTGTAAGTCAGTTTCTGTGTAGGCACAAACCCTTAATGTCTTGGCTAAAAAAAAAAAAAAAAAAAAAGTTTGCTAGAAAAAAAGTTTCAGTTCAGTGAAAATGACTCAATGGTGGGTCAACGTGTGTAGAATAGAAACACGATTGTAGAATAGATACAACACTTGAAAGGTAGATTACAATCATTGTGTAAAAAATCATTGATTTGCCCAACAAGTATTGCGATATACACTAATGTTCAAAAATTTGGGGTCAGAAAGATTTTATGTATTTAAAAAGCTGCATTTATTTGATCAAAAATACAGTAAAAACAGTAATATTGTGAAATATTATTTTTATTTTAATATATTTAAAATGTTAATTTATTCCTGTGATGGCAAAGCTGAATTTTCAGCAGCCATTACTCCAGTCTTCATTGTCACATGATCTTGCAGAAATCATTATGCCACTCAAGAAACATTTCTTATTATCAATGTAGGAAGGAATAGGAAGTTCAAAAGAACAGCATTTATTTGAAATAGAAATATTTTGCATTACAATACTACAAGTGTCTGTCACTTTTGACAAATTAATGTCACTTCTGATAAATTTATTGTGTCCTTGCTGAATAAAAGTATTAATTTCTTTCTTTGTTTAAAAAATAAAAACCTTTTCCAAGCTGTTCAGAGGTAGTGTATATATTGAGTAGATTTATAACAATTAAAACAAATGCTACCACTGTTAGATAAAACAATCATTTGCATAT